GGACAGAATCCGGTGCCCCGACCGGGACTAGAACCCCGTGTGCTGGCGCCGCAAGGCGGAGGATTAGCCTAGTGAGCCGCGGCGCCGGCCTTAGAGCAGGGGTTTTCAACCTGGCATGATTGACATTTTGGGTTGAACAAATTAAAAAAAAATTTAATATTTACTTGAAAAGGCAGAGTGACAGAGAGACATCTTCCATCTGCTGGTTCATTTCCCAAGTGCCCAGGCTGAAGCCAGGACCCCAGTACTCTCTCCGGGTCTCCCATGTGGATGACGGGGCCCAAGCACCTATGCCCTCCTCCGCTGCTTTCCCAGGTGCTTTAGCAGGGAGCTGGGTCGGAAGCAGAGCAGCTGGGACTTGAACCAGGCACTCCATTAGGGCATGCGGGCACCCTGAGTGGTGTAACCCGAGGTGCCATGACGCTGGCCGTGAGCTGGGTGACTGTCCGCTCAGTTCTGGGCATCGTGGATAGAAGGGAAACAGTCTGAGAAGTCCTAAATTTAGTTACAAGGCCAGAGGCTTGGAGAGGAAGAGAGAAGAGGAAGAAAATAACACTAAACCACCCCCTCCCAACCCAAACACCCGGGGATTCCTAATCCCTGACCCCCATCCCCAGGGAGGGCAGCCAGCAAGGGGCCGCTGGGTGCTGCTCACAGCCCCACCCATCCCTACCGGCATCCCCTGCCCCCAGCTCCGCCGGATTTCGGGGCCCCGCCCCCTTACCCACGGCCAGGGCTAATTCAGAGCTCTCTTGGTCTCAAGACTTTTAACAGGAGGGTGCGTGGCAGCATCTAACTTCCTAGATGCCAGAGACCCTCTTCCCCAACGTGACCTCCATAGTGTCTCCTGACATCCTGTGTGGGGGTGGGGGTGGGGGAGGGCTGGGGGCAAAATACCCCCCGCCCCCCTGGTGACCACTGCTTTGCACAGCTGCTTTTCCGGGACAAACTCATAAAGAAACGCACCGTGCCTTGTCTGGGGTACCCACGCCCTCAGCACCAGGCCCTGACCCATGGGCCCTCACCTGATGTCTCAGCAAAACACCCCTGCTTTAGAAGGGGCAGGACTTCAGATTTTCGGAGCAGGCGTGCGAGGCTCAACCTGGGTTAGCTCAGTTCATCCGGGTAGGGTTTTTATCCCCATTTCTCAGAGAAGGAGACTGAGGCTCATCCAGCAGGGAAGTGGGCAGTCAGAACCAGGCCTGCCCCCTGTAGGGTTCCTCCCACCCCCGCCCCCCCCCCCCCCCCCCACCACAAAGCCGTTAAAGAGTTTGTCGGGGTAGGGGAAGTTTGGGGCCGCTTCCCCCTTCCCCCCTGGTTCTCCTTCGGGGGGGGGCGGGGGGGGGCCCCCCCCACCCCCCCCCCCCCTAGCGCCGAATTTCCCCCAACCCACCACCCCTCCCCCCCTAAACCCGGTGCACCCCCAGGCCGG